CTCCTGCGAGAGCAGGCAAAGCTCAGCTGCTCTCTTTACCACACACTCACACAGCAGCAGAGACGCAAAATGCGTTTAAATCACACTGAAACATTTCTCAGCTGTCACTTGCTAGCTGGTGTTTGAAACAGGTATTTTGTCAAGCCAAGGTGTTTCACCTCCTGCCTGCTGCAAGCGGAGAGCACAGCCTGCTGCCCCCCTCCCCAGACCTGCAGAACGGCCAGAGCGGAGCCTCCAGCCCCGCTGGGGCAGCCCTGCTGTCTCTGGAAGTTGAGCCTGGCCAGGTCTGAAAACCTTCCTCAGTCCAGGGAAAATGTTTATCAGTTCTTGAAGCCACAGGAGACGCAAGCCAGCCACCCACCTTCCGCTAACCACCCCCCATCCGCTCTGATCCCAGGTTTTCCGATTCGATCCCCGCGACAGCTCCTGGCTCCAGGTGGCCAGCATGCTGGAGAGGCGGACGCGCTTCCACGCGGATGTGCTGTCCGACTGCATCTTCGCCGTGGGCGGTGGGACGCTGCTGGGGACCCTCAGCCGCACCGTGGAGCTGTACCAGCCCGCCGACAACAAGTGGGAGTTCACAGCCCCCTTGCCCATGCCGATTGCTGATCACGCAGGCACAACCCACAGGGGAATCCTCTACATTTCAGGTGATGCAGCTAGTGGGAAGCAGCACATTTGCACACAGCTTTGTTGATTTTTGCTGGCATCCTAACGTCACAGCCCAAGCCTGCACCCACACCAGGAACACCCACAGCTCCGGTGTCCCCCTCCCGCTGTTAGCACAGCCTCACTGCCCTCCTGCACGGCAGGAATTATTTTCTCTCCAGGACGCTGAAGGTGACAGCATCTGCTTGCCATCCACACCCCCGCTCGCCTTTGACCTTGCAATCCCGGCTAAATCCCAAAGCTTTGCTGTGTGAAACGGTAAACCAGGAACAGGCTGTGGATGGGATTAAACCCCGGTGTTACCTGAATGGAAGAGGTGGGGCTAACCCTACCGCGCTGCCTTGTTCAGCCATACAAAAAGAAATATCATGTAGGCTCTTACCCACTGAGCCTGTGCAGCTCTTGCCCTACCAGGGATCCTCAGTCTTTACAGGGATCTTTGGCAGACCCTGCAGCTGTTTAACAATAAAGCAGCAAGGGTTTAAACACTTCACGAAATCATTGCAAGATCTTTAGCTTTTGCAGCTACTAATCGGGACCTGAAAGGTAACCTTTGGTTTGTTCTAGGAAAAGTAGTTTGTGTTATTCCCGCAGCAGTTAAAACCCTCGGCCAGTCCCCTGTGGCTGGGGGCTCCTCGCTTCCTAAAGCGCTTAGAGCCAGCTGGGATCGCTGTACTGACCCAGCCCAGATCACCTTCAGCTGCGCAGTTGCAGGGAAGGGCACTTTCTGTGAGGGACAGCAGGGCTCCCGCGCCGACGTGCAGACAGGTCGTGATTCAGCTGGGGAAAGGCTCAGACTCAGGTTCAAGCCCCGGCTTTGACACAGCTGGGCCACAGGCAGCGGGGGCTGGAGCAGCTCTGCTACAAGGACAGGCTGCGGGAGCTGGGGTTGTTCAGTCTGGAAAAGAGAAGACTCTGTGGGGACCTAACAGCTGCCTTCCAATACCTGAAGGGAACCTACAGGGAGGCTGGGGAGGGACTTTTTACAGGAGTGTCCAGCGACAGGACAAGGAAATGGATTTAAATTGAAGGAGAGTAGGTCTAGACTGGATCTTGGGAGGAAATTCCCCAGTGCGAGGGTGGCCAGACTCTGGGCTAGATTGGCCAGAGAGGCTGGGGCTGGGCCCCCCCCCAGAGATGTTCAAGGCCAGGTTGGATGAGACCTTGAGCAACCTGGGCTGGTTGAGGCGTCCCTGCCCATGGCAGGGGTTGGATCAGATGATCTCTGAGGTCCCTTCCAGCCTGAGACATTCTATTTGACGATTCTATGATTTAACCTCTGTCAGTCTTGTTTCCTCCCAGAGAGCAAAGACAAAACTGCCTCACAGAGCTCCCAACATACCACGGTGACCTAGGCTGGATAACTCTGCACCCCCTGGGCAGAAGATCCCACCTACTCATAGCATTTACTTCCTTCTAAACAAGTCGGGTAACTGCAAATTTAATCTGGCCAGCCTGCAGCCCTGCCTAACCAAACAGAAAAGTTACTTCAATACAAGACTTAAACACGAGCTCCATGCAGACAACGTGCCCGCGCCCAGGTGAGCTGGGGCTTTGGGCTGCAAAGCCGCTGTGCAGGCTGGAACTCAGCAGGCAGCAGTCGGAGGCATCTACCCCTCCCACAGCAGCACCCTCCTTCTGCAAGGAGCTTTTGCAATGCACCCCTGAAACACCCAAGTGAGTGCCTAATAAGGAGAAAAAGTTGATAAGAGCATTGGCCGACTGGCTCTGGCCTCTGTTGAGATCCTAAGTTGAAGGAGTTTTGGATGCTTTTCCTCTAAACCTCCATTCTGTGACAGCAAGTGCTGGATTCCCTAATTACAGCTGGTTTGAAACACCCCCAAGAGCTTTATTAAAAATGTATTCTGTAGAAAACAATTTACAGGAAGAGCTGGAACTTGCTTGCTTTGTGGTTGGTGTTGGGTTTTTTCCTCTTTAAAATAGCTGAGAAGCCTCAGGTTTTAAATTTAACACTGTATCAGCTCTGCCGAACGGTGTGAAATTTTAAACCTGAGCTGCTCAGGTATTTGAAAGAGGAAAAAGTCAGCTCCGCTGCTGTTTGCTGGATGTCACAGAGGATGATGGAGAGGTTTTTAAGGCCTCTGCTTTCCTTCTAGGGGGCTTCTCTGGGGGCAAAACCTTACGAGACACTTACAGCTACCTCCCTCGCCTCCGGCGCTGGGTCGGCAACAGCGCCATGGCTTTTCCCCGCTGTGACCACGGCATGGCGGCAGGCAGGGACAAGATCTTTTGCATGGGAGGAAGGACACTGAAAGGGGTAAGTTCATTTGCTCTTACAATTCCCAGTCTGACCCCAAATGGGGTCTCTGTATTGCCAGGCCCTGACCGCTCCACTCCCACAGCCCGACCAGTAACTTCACTGGTTTGGGTCTCTCAGGGGCAGTTTGGGAGTGGGGCCGGCGAGCTCATGAAAAGGTGTCTGCCGTCACGGTCACGCGCGTTAGAAGCCGCCCTGTTGTCACACTCCCTTTGCTGGAGCACAAAGGCTGTTTAAAGCAGATTTTTAAAAGAAAGAAAACATATGATGGAGGCGCAGGCTGCTAACGTAGGAAAACCTGAGTGTAAAAGTGGTCACGTACCGCCCCAACCACACTGACCTGAGCTGATTTCCCTCGGGGTGAAACACTGGCAGGTGGGGAGAGGAAGGGACCACGGTGAGGACACCGGTCCAGGTTCTAGGAAAGAGGAGGGAAAGCGCTGCCGTTCTCTGGGAAGAGACTCGCCAGGGACCAAAAGCTTCGCTCTGGGAGAAGCCAAGAGAACTGAGTTTTCCAAGGTCATTCAGCAATTCCCACAGGACTGTAAATGATTTCACCATGGCGGGTGCAGTTCCTTTTTGCTCCTTTAAAGCCGTGCCACTCTGGTACCTTCTTCAGTCCCTTCTGAGGCTCTGATTGCTAAATGGGGACTGAGAACGTGGCCCCTTGGGCCCCACAGCATTCAAACGCACACTGAGATGCTGGCCTGCTTTGTCACGAGCCAGGTGAGCCTGCCCTGACAGCGGGACCACGGCTAAAGCGTGTTCTGGTTCTCTGCAGGCGGAGGAATGGATCCACGTCAACGAGACGGAATATTACTGTCCTGTAAGCAATCAGTGGACAACCCTCACGCTGTCCCCGTTCAAGAGCTGCCAGTTCAGCATCACTGCCCACCACAGCACGCTCTACCTGGCAGGAGGAGGGTCCCTGCAGCACAGGCTGAAAGAAGACAGCGTTTTCCTGTTCGACACGGAGGGGTGGGAGTGGAGGAAAGCCAGTCCCCTGCCCAGAGCTCTGGTGGATCACGCCTCTTGCATGATCAAACTGTCCCAAGCCAACGCGGGCAGTGGGACGGGGAGAGGCGCAAAGTGCTGCCCTGCGGGCAGGAGGAAGAAATCCACCCTCAGCTTGTTCATCACAAAGAAACAAGAGTCCTGCTCCGCCTCAGGAGAGAAGTAGGATGTGGATAGGTTAAGCAGATCTGACAGTGTTTGCCAAGCCATTATAATTTTAACAGCTCTCCTAGTTGCCAGCCAAACACCTTCAGCAGTGCCTGGGAACCGGCACATCTCTGACTTGGTGCTATCACGGCAAAATGCATCATTTGCAAAAAAGAAATTAATAAATTAGTTCCCAATCTTATTAAGCTGCATTAAACCAGTAAGAATTCCTTAAATCAATTTTTTGTTGTTCAGAACCTCTTTTTTCTGATTAATGACAAAGGTAGATGATTTTTAATGAGTAACTTGAGAGATTTCATGAGGAGGTCTTTAAAAGAGCTTTGAATTCTATCTCTAACAGTTTCCTTACAAACACTGCTGGATGACAAATTAAGTACCCCTAAATATACATGATGTGTTTAAGATTGTTTTGCCACTGGATTAAGACTTTAGGACACTGTGATGACAACCCTGTCCTCAACAAGCAGACCAGGAAACTGCCTGGGTAACTCCGGCTTCTGGCAACGGCAAACCCATTCGCGGGATTGCTTTCGCTCAGGGATACGGAAGTATTCGGCAGGTGATGATGAAAGGTGGTGAAGCTCAAGGTGTACCTCATGAGAATTTAACTCTGGGTGAGAATACTCGATCTAAAACTCCCTCAGTGAATGTGCGTTGAGCCTGCGGCTGCTTGAGCCAGAGTATGGGCACATTTTTAGAATCACATACTTCAGAAGTCCACGTCTCATGGACAGTCAGCAGGCTGAGGGGCTGCAACGGCTGAAAAATCTGGTGAGGACACATTTGGAAAAGTAAGAGAATGAACCCATGGGCCACCAGGGGACATCCTGACGGACAAAGCCAACGTGGGGCAGAAGGTCCCACCAGCAGATCAGTCAGAGCCAGCTCCCGCGATACACAACCCACCCGACAACGCAACAGCTCTACTCACAGGTGCTTCTAGAAACCAGGGACTTAAATAAAAGACCAAAACAATACTAATAACTCACCAACGAGAGCAGCCAGGCCTTGGACGGGGTCTGTGTGCGCAAGGATTTGTTCACAGCCAACCTGGATGAGACACAGGACAGTGAACAGTCTCGGCCCCACGGAAGGGCTAATGGGGGGGCTTCTCTCCTCCCTTCTAGCACCAAAATACACAGAAACAAAGAGACAGAGCTCGGACAAACAGCTCCTTTACCGAGTTGGGCAGCTGCACAGAGGCCAGAGACACACAACAGTAAGAACAGGGTAATGCCCTTCGCAAGTGGGGGTGGAACAAGAGGTTGTTGAACAGGCCCTAGAAGGGAACCAGATGCCCAGTGGAGCCAGAGAAAGCACCTGCCGAGTCCCCGTACAGTGCACCTGTACAACAGCTTGCACAGCACGTGTTTTGCTCCAGGTAGGACTCAAACCATAAATGCCACAAGGCCAGAGGCAAGTAAAGCCCCGTGGGCTCCGTGTGCTGAGAGCAGCAGGGAGCAGCAGCACGAGGCTGCCAGGAGAAACCAGGAATTGCAGCAGCAACCAGTAACCTGGGGTCAGAGCTGGGGCCTCTCAAAAGCAGCTGGTGCCTACGAGAAGTCTTTGTAACCCCCTGAGTACAGGCCCCTTTCCCACATTTTGTCATCTCTGACTCTTGAGAGTTCACAGGTTGTCCAGCACCCACAGCAGAGGACTCTTCCCTGCATTATGCTCTGAGGTACATCATCCTCCTGTGCCACACCTAGAAAGGGTTTTAGATCTCCATCCCTACCCACCAAGAAAAATACATCTATGAAAATGTGTTGAGGTGGGCTACAACATGTAAAAAACCCCAAATTACAGGTTCTTAGTGCTTAAAAGCTGAAGTGAACAAGCTTGCACAGGTCTTTGTGGCTGAGGTAAAGGCAGAGCAGGGTAGGAGTGGCTCCAGCAAACTCTCCCCAGCAAGCCTCATGGCAGCACCGGCACAGAGGAGTTTTAAATGTGTGGTTTTCCCACTGGAGTGGAAGGGCTGCAACATTCACCACTGCAGGGAGCTGTCCCTATCGCTGGTGGCACGTGCCCAACAGTGTCCCAGACTGCGGCACTGCGGCCACCCTCGACTCACTGTGTCCTGGTCCTCACCTTCACTGGATTGGCAGGGAGGTGACCCATGAAGTCGGTTTTGTAAGGGTAGTCCATCATGGCCATCATGGTGAAGGCATTTCGAGCAAAGCCAAAAAGCTGGTAAACATCCTCCTTGTTAGAGATCTTGTTGCAGGTGGCCATTTTGCTGCTGATTTCATCGTAGGCTGCACAAGGAAGGAAAATGAAAGACACAAACTTCAATAGAGCAAAACGAAACCAGTCTTCAGCATCGTGTTTCACTCAGGACTAAGGAGACGCCTTAACACACAGGTAAGGTTTCTAGGGGGAAGGACACACTGCGTCTAAATTTACAGCCCGTGGATGCTCAGGCACAGCCCTCCCGTGCAGCTTCACAGGCCCATGCAGAGCCACCGACACCTCCCTGGGGAGCCCTGAGGCATCGGCATCCCCCGAGGCAGAAGCAGCCTCAGTGGGCACAGTGAGAAGAGCAGACGGGTACGAGAACATCCTTGCCGGTGCCCGGCCTGGCTGCGCCCTCCTCGCCTCCGCGGGGCTCTCGGGCAGGAGAGCAGGACACAGTGTACAGGTCTTAGGGGGATTCAACTGCTGGAAGAAATGACAGCAGGGAAAAAAAAAAGCCCAAACAAGCTCCCTGGGAGCTGGGTGCATTTGCAATACGAATTGCCAAGCGAGAACAGTCCTCACAGGGTCACAGAGGACTCCTGAGGCACGGCTCCAGCCGTCAGTGCGATGCAGAGAGGTCGGCTGGAGACAGGAAAACCATCCTGGAAGAGATTCCTTCACGATGCACTCGTATATTTTTGCATTTCTGCTGGAGAAAGCTGCTTCCTTCATGTTCATCCTCCACATCCTGGAGCTGCAGTTCCTTTCTGCCCCCATTGAACTCCACCAGGTGCCCACCAGAGCCTGGCTGTCTTCACTCGGAAACCCAAGGCCTGGGACCTGCCTCTTGATACTCCCTTGAGAGCCTTAAATGTGACCATGTTACCCCACTGTGCTGCAGAAAGCACAGCCCCAGCAGACCTCAAGGACCTCGGCTATTTAAAGGTAACGTTTTTCCTGCTGTGACCCAAAGCTAAATGGGGTTTTGGAGCCCCTCAGCTCCTTTGGGCAATTCCAGAGGAAAAAAAAACAAACAGAAAAACCAGAATCAACTCTTTTCCACATGGCTGGCACTGCCTGCTGCCCGCCCTCAGGAAGGCATCTGCAGGGCTGTCTCTGCTCACCTCCACTAAGGCACAAATCCTTAATCTGCTGGAAGGCTTTGCGGACAGCTGTGACGCACCCTGGGCTGGCCTTCTGAAAATCCTGAGGGGGCAAGAAAAGACACAGGGTTATGGCTGCACAGAGGAGGCAGATGTGCAGGAGGCTGCACTGGGAAGAACTGCCAGAAGCAAAACCTTATCTGTGTCTCCAGGAGCGGTGACACCTTGTCCTGCAGACAATCAGCACGTCCCAGCTGCGCAGCACACACAGACAACTCCGTCAGCAGGACTCGCTGGGCTGAGCTGCTGGACAAAGCACTTTGCGCTTCCTGGAGCCGTCAGACTGAACACAACGGAGCAAGAGGAGACCCAGGGGAAGAGTGTGCCAGGCTGCCAGGCCAAAAAGATCTTTGTTTTTTTTCTTTTAAACACACAACAGTGTTCTTCCGACAGCACTCTCTCTGTGATGAGGAGCCAGGGAGAGGTCAGTTATGCTCGGCGGGCAGAGCGCTGGTTTAGGAACCAACACTTGCTTTTCTTCTCAAGCCTGCCAGGGATCTGCCAGATGACCAAGAAGGCCGTGTACTTTTTCTTGTGAAAAATCCTAAAAAAGCACTTTAAGGTATGTTTGAGGAGGTGTGACTGGCCATGCTGGTGCAACAAGTTGTTTCTGTCTCTGAAGGCTCTAACAACCCAAACTGTTTCTCTTCTGACAGCTTGTAAAGCAGATTGAGATTTGCTGGCAACCAGTGCTTTGTAACAATAAAAACTATAGTGCTCTTTAACGTCCCTCTATCCTGCTAGAGCGATGGTTACATAATCCCAAATCACAGGGTTAGCAGTTTTCTGACAAAGACCCAGCCTCAACTAACAACAGATCTGGGCCCTTTCTTTCATTCCTAACTCCGCCTTTGCCTGACAGTTATGCTTAAAGAAATCGCTGCAGAGCTTTCCGCAGCGTACCTGGGCATCCCTCTGGGGCTTCCAAATCTCCTTCTGGAAGTGCTTATCGATCTTCATCTACAAACAGCTCCAACTGGAGCCTGGGGACGGATCGGCTGGGGCCAGAGGAGCGGCTCCGCTCTGGCTGCCCTGCCAGGCAGCACATGGGAACCCCATCCCAGATCTGCCCCGCAGGCCCCACGGATCCGGGAGCGGTTCGAGGCAGGAGGGGTTACAGCCGTTCCAAGGAAAGCTGTTGCCTCTCGAGACTGCCAGCTTCTGAATCACACCAACTTCCACCTCTGAGCCGACCCAAGCTGAGCTCAGGTGGCCTGAGCAGCCCCCGCAGCAGCAACCCCTGGGGAAGCGCACGTGGTTGTACGCGTGGGATCCACACAGTAGTAGTGCCGGGCCACAGGCGGGGCCGCTGGTGTACATAACCTAGGCTGAGGCAAAAATCCACCTTCTGCCCCTTGCTCACTTCCCCTGTGAGCTGGGAAAACTCAGTAAAAGTCACAGAGAAAGCTGCTCCGAGCGGATGAGCTCTGACTCACGGGAAGGGAGAGCTCCCGCAATGATTCAGGGAAGGTTGGTGCCTTCATCGGTATTAACCGCTCTCCGGGGCGTTCTGTCACAACGACGAGCAACCGAATTCAGACTGCAGATTGCTTCTGTGCAAACACGCTCAAGGTGGAAGGAATTACTTTGAAAATACCACAAAATGCTCGCTTAGGATGTCAGCCCAGAGGCCGACCTACCGCTTCAGAGTCTATTTTAAAACAAATAGGAAATTTTTTTCACATGAAAAGGTCAAAGCCCTAATTTCAGGGGTGTGTACTGACTCACAGCAGAAGCAAGACAGAGCTATCAGCTGAACAGGGCTTCTGGGAAAGAATTACTTTCAAGCAGGGAAGAATTCCCACTGCAGGGCCTATTAGATGACTAAGTGCTATCACACGTCTTGTTTTAAAACGTATAATTTTAAGGCAAGATGGTTTTATTCTCTCATACACTTAAGAGCTTCAAGTGCTAATGTGTTTATTTTCCTGTGATAGCTTCCTCTTTATACTTACTGGTAATGCTATTTGTACTGTATGTCTCTTATTGAAATAAGGTTTTCATATATGTAAAGAAGAGCAAAAAGACCACAAGTTTCATACACAGGTAGTTCATGCAAAGCCATCCGTGTCACCTAGACCTAGAAATTATTGTCAAAAATGAGGCAAAATAGACATCATTACAAGATTTCAGTACTACCAGGTAGTACATTTCTTTCCTTATAAACTAAATGTAAGGCAGTTGTAACCAATACCACCTTCCTATGGGTCCTACACGTCCTTAAACCATGAAAGCCACATTTAAATCTTGGTTTTAACTGAACTCAGGACACCTTCACTGAAATGTAACCATCCTGGTACTGTGGAGCTGCTGCGGACCATTGACATCACCACTCCTCCTGACAGGAGGCTCTAGCGAGGTGAGGTTGGTCTTTTCTCCCAAGTAACAAGTGACAGAACAAGAGGAAATGGCCTCAAGTTGCACCAGGGGAGGTTAGATCGGACATTAGGGAAAAATTCTTCACTGAAAGGGTTGTCAAGCACCAGAAGAGGCTGCCCAGGGAAGCAGTGAAGTCATCAACCCCAAAAGTATTTAAAAGCTGTGTAGATGTGATGCTCAGAGACGTGGTTTAGTTGTGGATCGAGCAGCGCCAGGTTAATGGTACTCAATGATCTTAAAGGTGTTTTCCAAACTAAATGATTTTATGATTCTATTCTATGGAAAGGAAAAAAATCCAGCCTTCTTAAAGGAAGAAAATAATGCTCCTGAGAAGCGATGCTACTTACTGCTGTGACATCTCTGAAGAACTGCGTGGGGTCTCCAAGGCCAGCCACAGAGAGCAGAGGAGCACTGGCAGCTAACAACCCCCCCAGCCACAAGGTTGGGGTATTTCATCCTCATGTAAGCGCTCAGCATTCCTCCATAGCTGCCGCAGGACAGACAGAAGAGTTACTTCCTTTAACAGACGGCTTATACCATAGTAACTCAAACTTCAGGCCAGCATCCTTAGGCTCACCTAAACCAAGGCAATAAGAAGCCCACGGAACAGGCTGCCCAGGGAAGCTGTGGCAGGCCCCCCCTGGCGGTGGCCCCGACGGGGCTTGGAGCTACCTGGGCTGGCGGGAAGTGTCCCTGCCCAGGGCAGAGGGGTTGGGACGAGATGATCTTTAAGCTCCCTTCCAACCCGAGCCATTCTATGACTCTGATATCTAGCAGATGCCATCCTCATGTGAAAAAATCCAGTTATGGTCCAGCAGCCACACACAATGTGTTCTTACTGGCCTTTCCCCACATGCTCACACCAGCTCTGGTGGGAACAGAGCAGCCCAGTTTGCTGCTGCAGCCAAACCCTGTCTCAACAGTTAACTCTGCACCACCTGAGTGTGTCCTCACAGCTCCAGGGCAGAACCAAGCGAGGCTCAAGCGAAGCTGTCACTGTTCAGTGTGAGAATGCAGGGTTATAAAGGCTTGCTAGGCTCTAAGCAAAGGGTGTCCCTGAGCACCACTGAGCACGCAGCCCTCTCTCCTGCTGAGAAGTGGAGATTATTCTCCCTGGGCACCCCAAGCAACAGCTGCATTGATGATCAGATATAGGGAAGGGGAGACACTAACAGTAAAACTCAAAGCTGCCTTAGTAACTTCAGCGCCAGGGCCACAATGTACAGATACAGCAAAGCTTGCCAGGTGCACCCAAGGTGACAAAAGTTACCCATGTGCTGATGCTTGTGGAGTTACTCTGAAGTCACTGCTGGGGGTGGCAAATGACATCCTCAAGATACCAGTAACACCCAGTCTGACCAAGCTTACAGGTGTTGGAGTCTTCCTCCCCATTGCCTCCTGTGACAGCGGTAAATACCGTCCCTACAACACCCACATGTAGGGCAAGACACATTTCCCTAACCCTGGGCTTGCAAACAGGCATTAGCTGAAACCTGCCACAAGTAATTTCAGGTTAAAGCTACAGATGAGGCAGTTTTCTTTCTCCCATGGGGAATGCTGTGCTGCTCCCACACTGCGGTGTTTCTGTATTCCTCACGTGGGTTTAACACTGTTCAGGGCTGCCGCAGCGAGCTGCAAGCTCAAACGCACACCGTCAGGTCAAGTGCTTGTTATTCACCACAACTGAACGGGAAGTCCTGTACCTGGTGGAAACCTTTTAAAGGGGAGCACCCCCCTACTATAAGGGTGGGGAGCCAGTCAACAGACAAGGACATCGCATCAACACAGCTCTGAGCTGCAGCACAGCAAGCACTTTGGGGAAGGACTTTTGCTAGGAAGCGAGGAGCAAGCAAGCAGCAGGTTGCAGAGCAGAATTATAAAAAAGCCTACAATAAAAATGGGTGGATGTTGCTAAAGAAGCTGTTTAATAAAAAGCTGAGTGGCCCCTGGAAATAGTATTTTACCGATTACTGATTTTCTGCATTTCTGATGTAAAATGCTCTTATCCTGCAGGAGAAGCTTCCATTTTTTGCAGTTCTCGCTGACTCATCCACTGAAGATGCTTAGAAATGTCTACTCAGTGGTGCTTCACAACTGAAATCACAAATTGAGTTGATGGGAGAGCTGAAGGGGACCTGGTGATGAGCTCTTGGGAGCTCAGGCACAGACATATCTGCTCTCTATTGGATAGCTTAAAGCTCTGCCTTTAGAACTTGCTTGAGAGCCAAGCAGATCTATGAGAACAGCACGGCTGCAGCTGGGAAAGGATGTGGAGAAGGGAATGAGCACACACAACCTTTACCTGCCTCCAAAAGCAATGACAGGGCAGTCTGCGGCGCCCAACTGCTGCTTAAGCTCAGCTATCAGCACCGCATAGTCAGCAAGGGCTTGTTCCACGGTGAGCAGACCCGTCTGCTTAGGCTGCCTTGACTCCAGTCCAAATGGAAGAGACTTGCCGTAGTACCTCTGGAAGCAAAGAGAATTGCTGCGGAAATGCTGGTGTCACGGTCTGGGGCTTCTCTCTTGTCACTAAAGGACAGGGACACCAGTGTGCACACACGGGAAGCAGTAACGGAGCACGTGGTGTCCTCTAACTCGTTTGTAACTGAGGAAGTGCCGTGTCTCCTGCATCTGGTACACGGACACCGGCAGGATGTATTCTTAAGGACAGACAGTCCAGGACAAGCTACTTCAGTGGGTACCCCGGGGCTCTCGGCACGTGTCACCTGAAATCCCCAACTAGAAAAGGGAACAGGGTAATCTCTTCATGCACAAGTCGTGGAACAGTACATGTAACAGAGTGCTGTGGGAAAGGCTGGCTTAGGACTTTGCAGGCAGATTAAGTATTACCCAAACAAAGTAACTCTCTAGTACAGTGTGGAGCTCAAGGTCTGTGGAAACAACTTACAAAACCACTGGTCTAAAGCAAACACAGCACGGCACAGGCTTTACTGAAAGAGTAACCTGTATCCTGGATTGCTGGTAGGCACAATAAAAAAAACCATTCAGGAGTCAAGGTTAAATAAAGAAGAGCTGCTACCACGAGGAGAAAGCTTACAGAACGTATGCCTCAGCTTCATGGCAAGAAACCATTTTTCGGGACCTGCAGAAAGCTCAATTTGGCAATACTGAACAGAACAAAACCCCATAGTATGCACAATGACTAAAATACTATGAATAATGACTAAATATTAGTCATTACATGTTTAACAGAATAGACTCACAGAATCACAGAATCATTAAGGTTGGAAAAGACCTCTAAGATCATCAATTCCAACCATCATCCCAACACCACCACAATATAATAATCTAAGCCAATACTCACATGCTCAGCAAAAATCACAAGTGCTTGCTGTTCCTCTGCTAATTCAAATATGAAGTCAGAGTTCTGAGCAAAAGTCCAGATGTCACCTTCATTGCCGGTATAGAAAAAGATGGGTCCAAATCCTTTCTTCCAGAACTTTGCTGAGTAAGACAATTGACAGAAGCAAATTTAGAAAACAAAACAAATCACCCAAGACACAAGCATGAAAAGATTCTACTTTTGATGAGTTTGGGCAGGAGCTTGAGAAAGAAGAACTCCGTGAACAGGCTGATCTCTAAGACATGAGCACAAGGCATAAAGGCCTTAGAAATGCCAACTCCAGAAATCTCTCATTCGAACAGGGATAAAGAGCTCCCATGAAATGAGCACACAGCCTGGAACTTCCACCTCTGCCTGAAAGCCCCTAAAATTTCAGTTCTGCGTGGCATTTGGAAACAGTTGCCCCGCCTCACCCACCGGCCAAGAGCGATTTCCCATTTCCATACTCTTCTCAGCCCAACCCATCCCAAAATACTTGCACAGCCTCTCCCCTCAAAATGAGCGTTGAGGCATTGCTCGCACCCTGCCGCTGCCCCTGCTGTGATGTATGATGTGGAGCCAAGCTGTAAATCACACATCACAGAATGGTTTGGGTTGAAGGGACCTTCAGAGCTCCTCCAGTTCAAAGCCCCTACCTCGGGCAGGGACCCCTCCCACGAGAGCAGCGGCTCAAAGCCCTGTTCTACCTGACTGTGAACCCTTGCGGGGATGGGGCACCCACAACTTCCCCGGGCAACCCGTGCCAGCGTCTCACCATCCTCAGAAGATGAGATTTCTTTTTTACGTCCAACCCTGGGGAGGTGAGATTGGCTATTGGGCAAATTAGCGCCACCAGTAGGGTTGTCCAGCACTGGGAGAGGCTGCCCGGGGAAGCGGCGGAGTCTCCATCCCTGGAGGGATCTAAAAGCCGGGTCCATGCGGTGCTCATGGGTCAGTGGTGGGGCTGGCAGTGAACAGTTGGAGTCAATGACCTTTAAGGTGTTTTCTGACCTAAACAGTTCTACGATTCTGTGGTCCCGTATCTCATTCGATACGTCATAAACACACAGGATGATATGTGAAGATGAGATGCTTCATCCTCTGATCTGTTTATAACTGAAAGCAAATTGGGACTGCAAGAACAAGCAGATCCATGATGTCAAATACTTGCTTATCTAACAGCCAGTTGCTTTAATGCTTGCTGACTTTAACGAACACTTGATTTTAGCTTAGTCTTAAATTGCACAGGAATTAAGGAGGATAATAAACAACTTTCTTCCTCAGCAGACCTTAGACAGTTAGGCACTGACTCCAGCACACTGCCACACCACCAGAAGGGACACTCCGACAGCGGCTGTCCTACGGACACTGCTGCGGCAGGAGGTCATTGTCTCCCTGTACACAGCACTGGTGAGGCCTCAACTCGAGTAGTGTGTTCAGTTTTGGGCACCTCAGTACAAGAGAGACATGGAGGTGCTGGAGCGGGTGCAGAGGAGGGCAACGAAGCTGGTCAAGGGGCTGGAGAATAGATCGTATGAGGAGCGTTTGAAGGAGTTGGGTCTGTTTAGTTTGAGGAAGAGGAGGCTGAGGGGAGACCTCATCACTCTCTACAACTCCCTGAAAGGACATTGTGGAGAGGCTGGTGCTGGTCTCTTTTCTTGGGTAATTAGTGACCGAACTAGAGGGAATGGCTTCAAGCTTAAACAAGGTAGGTTTAGACTAGACAGTAGGAAGAAGTTCTTCATGGAAAGAGTTGTGGGATATGGAACAGGCTGCACAGGGAGGGGGTTGAGTCGCCACCCCTGGATGTGTTTAAGCATCACTTGGATGTGGTGTTGAGTGATATGGTCTAGGGGTGAACTTGCAAGTAGGGTTAATGGTTGGACTCGATGATCCCAAGGGGCTTTTCCAACCTGGATGACTCTGTGATTCTGTGAGACTATTGCCATTAACACAGAATTGAATTCTTCCCATTCTCCATGGACTTGCCAAAAGAGGATTTGGTTTGACAATGGGTTTGGAACCTTTCATCAGCAAAATTTGAGCTCTTCGTTAACAAAGAGGCTGATGGTCTCTCTCTCTCTGGCATTTCCCTCAGGTATCAGATAGGAAACTGAAGTATTATCTTTACTGTGGCTTTTCTTCTGATGAGCCTTGTGGCTCCTGCAGTAAACAACCATTCACAGAGCCCTAAGCAAACCAAATGGGTTGCTTAAAAAGGTATCTATTTTGAGACTGAAATCCTGGGGAACTGCCAGCTAACCTCAACACAGTCAGCTGCTTGGTTGTGAAATAATAGTCGCCTTCAAGATCGTGCTAATGATCTGAAACTAACCTGAACACAGTCAGCTGCTTGGTTGTGAAATAACAGTCGCCTTCAAGATCGTGCTAATGATCTGAAAAGCCCTGTATTGCACAAGAAGGAGTAGAGGGGAGTGGAACTACTAACAGGAATTTTGAGTAAGAAACTATCTGTAAACCACCAGAACTGCAATGCTAATGTTCTACTTCTCACAAAGATTACTCATCTCTGCCCAGGACACACAGAAAAAAACATTAACGCTTTAAAAAGCAAACAAAGAAAATGCTTTAAACCAGGTGATCCCAAAGTCCTGCTCAGAAGGGGCCACTCAGTGGAATCCTAGACTGGCCTAGGCTGGAAGGGACCTTAGAGATCATCTAGTCCAACCTCCCTGTCATGGGCAGCCTTGGGCGTGCTATCAAAACTCGGTGGTGTTCCTGTATGTTTGGGCTGAACAGATCCCTGAAGCAAAGCTCGGTGAAACAGCTGACTGGGTGCGGGTGCTGGACAAGCTGCAGGGTGAGGGGTGATGGGTGGAAGGTGAGGCGCTGCACGGGCAGTGCGTGGGGCAGGGCAGGCAAGTGCCAGCTGGGCACTGGTGCTATTCACAGCTCCACCTTCGCTCACTCCCTACAAATCACTCCCCAATTCCTCCAAGCAGGCAGGATTGAAAAACACATGACCCTGGTTAATCAAAGTGCTGTCTTTTTAGTCATGTACTCTTTAGAAAAGTCTCCTCTGTCTTCTTTTCTGTTGCACAGAAGATAATTCATTATTTGGCTGGAAAAGAAGATGCTGCCAGCTCCTGGCTGGAAGCCCCCATCGCGCAGCACGGCTGAAGCTATCTGAAGTTGGAGCCGTTTAACTAATGCAAAACACTGACCCAAGAGGAGTTATCTTCACTCCTAAGAACGATGGGTACAGAGTGCAACGTGTAGGTCATGCCTCGTTTCTCCCGCTGCACGCAGAGCACTGAACTGCCCTTGCAGGAGATGCTGTGGCCAGCTGAAGGGACACAGGCAGAGAGCCAGCCCCGGGGCAAGCCTAGCGCAGCTCTGCAGGGGCTCCCCCTGCCTGCACCCCGGCCCCAGGGGGAAGGGAGGGGAGGAGGGTATGGACTGTGCTGGGGAACGACCGGCTCAGCACTGGGCTCCCTGAGTGTGTAGCGGTAGGACGAGGGACAATGGTCTTACATTGGAACAGGATACAGGTAGACTAGACATGAGGAAGAACGTCCTCACTGTGAGGGTGGTGAGGCACTGGCACGGGTTGCCCAGGGAAGCTGTGGATGCCCATCCTGGGAAGTGTTCAAGGCCAGGTTGGGTGGAGCTTGGGGCAACCTGGTCTGGTGGGAGGGGTCGGT